CATCACTTTATAACACCCCCACAGCTGAAAGGGCGAGCATGTTTGGTGGGATGGGGATTCGAACCCGCGACCCTCAGATTGTCGACTCAAGCACCCTAGCCACCTGGCCTCTAACCACAGTACTTCCCATTTGTGAAGACTAATACCAAAGTGTATGCAAAACCTTTAGCCAATTTCTCTAACAAACAGTTTCAATGTACTCCCAAACTGTATTTTTAAATTTCAGTAAGAATATCATCTTAGAATAGGTGAAAGTTTGAATAAAATATCCTATCATTGCTCAGTGTATTATTTTAAATGCTTGCATAGTGATGCTAACAACTCATAAATAAATTATTAGTAAAATGTTGATATAGAAAGTTATTGTTGTGTAATCTTCACAGAGTCTATAACAATCAAGTTTATTTTCTGAAACACCTTTCTAAAAGGTAGAAGAAACTTGTCCATTAGTTAGAAACAATATACAAGATTTGTAAAACATCACATCTGATCTACATAGATAAGCCTAGCCAAGTTCTTACAAGCTGACTGAATATCTGGATATTTATATTTATATCCTACTTCTAAAGTTCTCTTAGGAACCACTTTCTGTCCTTCTGTCATTATCACAGCTCGTTCTTTGTCAAAGGCAAGATTCAATGCAAATTTTGGAACAGGAATAATAGCAGGTCTCCACATGGCTCTAGAAAAAGCTTTAGTGAAATCGCTGTTGGTTATGACTTGAGGAGCAACACCATTCAAAATTCCAGACACATGACCATTGCTAATTGCATGAAAAAATATGCCCACTATGTCATCAAGATGAATCCAAGGCAAGTATTGTGTTCCTGAACTTATTGGCCCACCGAAGCCAAGGTAAAAAGGCCAGAACATCTGTTGAATCATGCCTCCATGTCTCCCTAAAACTACACCTGAAATATATAAAAAATATTTTAAAACAAGATACAGAAAATAAAAAGTATAAAGTCAATATAAATAAATAAACAAAAAACATCACCATCCTTATCTCTAGATTATATAACATACGGCTTACACTTGGGTGATAAAAAATACTCAGAGATTACATATAAATACAAATTACAAAGCTGACATTTAAAATAAGAAGCATACATGATTTACACATGAAATATGAAAAGAAATATGCAAGGCCTACATATGAAATGTATATACATAAACCCAATAAATGGTTATAAAAAGCACACAAGACTTCAAAAGAATAAAAACAAATTGTATGTATATTACAAATAACTAGTCAAATCTGAATGTAAAATTCTAAAAACTGTTTGAATGGTAAATCTAAGTGAAATGCAGCAAAATGTTTAATGAAATTATTTTTCACTGAAATTAATATCAACTTAGGCATGCATTGAATCTTTTAATAATGTAATTACAAGTTTTAAAATAGTGTGAATATCTGTAGCTTAAATGTAATTAATCAATATACACATATAAACCATCACATGATTGTATTTCAATGTGAAAGACAGTAAATATCAACTTTGTAGATTAGGAAATAGCAAATCATGAAGCAATTTCATCTAAATCAGAGCAAGGATACTTTAAAAAGCTCATTTGTGTAAAATACTTGTTAAAACAGTATTTTAATTGCCATAAGGTATGAAGTAGGCAGTATTATAGCATTTGTCACATGTATGCTATTTTATTTCCTACATTTCACTGCCTTTTCGAAAGATTTATAAATAGTTTGTCTATTTCTTTAGGTTATTCAACTTATTTGAGAAAATGTGAAATTATTACTGTTGGAGCCATTATTCGTACCTTCTAGTGTATCTGAGTGGTTTAAGTATTAACCCTATGTGTATGAGTGAGAGTCAATGTTCATCTCACGTACATTTTACAGAGTTGCATCCTAGATTTAATCAAACACATTTATTATGAAGTTGTCAATAAATCTGGCAACAAAACATAGCCAGTAAGCCAAATTTTAATATTACATTAAATTTTAATATTTCTTAGTTTCAAAAGAAAGTATTTAAATAAATTTCAATCTTCACTTCTGTGTAGCACATGATATTTGTTTGATCTGAAATGCCCATTTAAACATTCTTTCCACCTATATTTGGGTTTCCAAGTTTCAGTACAAATTACAAACTTATGGTAGAAATATTGCAGAGATACAGTTTATTCTATAGCCTCTAATCATCTTGATGTAGATATATAAACCACAAAGTCAAATAATCCACATGCCACACCCTCCTATCACATACTGCATTTCAAAAAATTTTAACAATTTTCTCTCATGTTTGCTATTATGTTATTTATGACCAGTAATAAAATAATTTTTTAATGTAAATTTTAGCTAAATTCTAACTTGTTCTGATGACAGCTTTTGAATTATTTGGCTTACAAATTCAAAGTTGCCAATGCTGAGTTCACCTTGAACATGGTAAGGGAGTAATTTTAAGACACTTATAGTGCAGTTAAAAAGCCAATTAAATTCTTATAGCTATAAGACATTGTATTCTTTGTTTGTGTTACAATTTTTAGTTCTAATCTGAATATTTGAAATAAATAAAAATTCAGTAACTTACTAGCAACAACCAAACCAGAAATTAAGGTTAACTTTTATTGAGACTAAGTGCTAGAAAGTACACGACCTGCACATAAGTACTACATTTTTTTTTTTTTTTTTTTATACAAGTGTTTTTTATTCATTGTTATAAAACTAACTAAAATGTAGAAACTAGAAAGTTATTAGGTTAGGTAAGATAACAAATGAAAGTAAATATTTAAAAAGTCTCAGTGAAGTATGCATGTTGGATAATTTATCAGTTTAGTATTTAAATATGGTTCAAAGGGCAATAAAACAAGATTAAACGAAAACAGGTGTAAACTGTTACAAGCTGAAGATGTTTAGGATAAATAACTAACTTTCTGTTACAGTCTAAAGTCATTCTAGAAAGAAAAAAAAGAGTAATTCAGATTTATTTCGTTGTTTTTTTTCTTTGTGGTGTTTTACAAGATCAGCCTAATGGAACAAGCCTGTAGTTTTAAGAAATAGAAAATAGCAGACAAAATATAAAGTTGTACTGAAAAAAAGTTTTGATATTCATTTAGGAGGTTTTATAGGTTAGGTAAAATGAAATATGAAAACTGTAAGATGAAAAAGATTGATTAAAGTAAATTCAAACAAATCTTTAGTAGTGATACTTTATTAAAAATTCTGATTTTTTAAGTAGAACATATTGTAATGTTTCCTAAAAGCTTATCAAATTGTATGAAGATACATGAAATAAATCCAGAATTATAGTAAACTAAAATTTTCCAAATTAAACTCAGTCCAAATGTAAGGTTAATGAAATCATGCAACTTAACGGAATCATCACCTTTTGTAAATGCTAATGAAACAAACTGTTTCACAACTTTGTAGATATACTATTTTATTATAATCTCCAATACTACTGAATGACTTAACCCACTGTATGAAAATTTAGTGAATTGCATTGAATCAAGGATAGTACAAACAAACTACAAATACAAACCAAAAGGCCTAAAATTTGTGATAAAAATCATGTAACCTGCAGATGTCTTTTTCTCACATTCCTCTTAAGTTGTCTATTTGGTATTCAAAGTAAGTGGCGTGTGTAAAAATAGAATTTCAGGTCATCTTTTTTTCCTTCCACATGTCACTGCCCACTTGGGTTGAACAACAAGAGACAAAAGTTTCTGTCAACTGCTATCTAATCATGCATTATATTATAAAAGTTATGGCTTAAATGTATCAAAAGCTAGAGAAGCATTAAAAATCAATTGTATTATATTGCATACATAAAAAAACATTTCTCTCATCACCTAACCCAACTGAGAAGCTATGATATTGAATGAAAAGCCACTTGAGCAGTAACTTAAGAGGAGCAAAAGATAGATGTGCAATTCTATTTTTTTTTTTATATGCTTCTGATTTTGAATCCAAAATGGACAAATTAAGAGAATTCTAGGGAAAGGAAACATTTGCAGTTTTCCAGATATTTATCACAAACTTTAGGCCTGTTGGTTTCACCAGCATTTCATGTTTAAACCATAAATATTAAAGTACAATTACACTTTAATCTTACACCACATATTTTCTATTTTCCAGAGGATAATTTATCTTCTAAGATATCAAACTTGACAGCAATACCTGATCGTACTATTACTCGGCGGACAGGAAGTTCTGGAGGAAGGTTTCCCGCTGATTCCCATTTACGACAAAGCTCTGCTAAGAAATCGTGATCACCCCCTGATGAGTTTTCTGTGTACTCTGTTTCTTGACATGGTTTATAATAACCTGATTGACAGAGGTTACATACATATTAAATTTATCTTTTGAAATGTGGATTAGTAGAAATCCATCCTTACCAATTCTGGTAACTATGATGGATTTGGAAACACATACTTAATTAGTTGATTGAATTTAAAGTTTGGAGCTTTCCATAAATGTAAAGTGATATTTAAATTCTTATATAAAACCATGAATTTAAGAATAATAGTTAATTATTTTACTGATTCTTATACAAAAGATATACTGATTATGTTACAGATATTCAACACTACTCGTTAAATACTTGAATAAAAAATAAACTTCCTTAATGATATAAAAGAAGTTTTATTGATATACAGTGCTTACACCACAATTTAAGTTATTTATTACAATTTATTGGTAAAATCTTACTTGAAAAAAAAAGGGGAAAATTTTCTAAATTACAGCTTAAATCTATAATTATACACACTTGAGATGAAATTATGCTTGAAACACCTCACAAACTTTACACATCTAGACTGATGTGTGTGACCTTCACATGTTAAGGAAGGCTACATGCCAGCATTCATTTTTAAACTAGTGCAGTATTTCTAGTTATGAATTAACCAGATTTAGTTCCTTCAAATCAGCATAGTGCAATCTTCAAATAAATTAAAATAAACTTGTCCTTGTACTGTTTCCCAATCTGTTCAATTTGACTATAAATAATAAATGAATATTTAACTTTATAATCAAATGTTTATATGAAAATTTGCTTTTCTCCATCTGTAATGAGCTGTAAAGCTCTTACATTTGACTTAAGAAATTAATGTATAGAAATGTTTCAAATAAACAAAATTAATTGGTCAATGAAGTGAGAAAGAGTGATTAGATGAACTGGTGAAAAGGATTAATCCCCTTATCCATTTGAGTGTCTTGGATAAGAAGAATTGGGCTGAGGACAGTGGTAGAATGTGAAAGCATTCTGTGGACAAACAGTATAAACCACTCCAACCAGCTATGCCTGAAGAGGAAGAACAAGTATGACTCACCTACCACCCCCAGACCAGTCAAACACTAATAGCCCTAGAATGAGCTTTTAATTCACGAAGAACTGCAAGAAATGGAAATCCAACAGGTTGGGTGGATAAAGTTGAAGATCTAATTCAAGGGCCTGTAGATCTTTGGGATCTATGGGTAAGGGTATCTCATGTCCAGAAATCCTTGAAGACTAGCCCCCACAGATCCTGAATGCATACAAAAAACATTGATGCTGCTGATGGCAATCCTGCTGAACAGCAGAACCCGTGAAAATAGACAAACTATACTGACGGGTTGATGTCCAGGGTCGAGACTTTCAAATATGGATGGAACTAAGACTCCCTGTAGTTGCCAATAAAAGTCGAGATGCCAAAAAGAACAGGGATGACAGGGGAAGTCAACAAACAAACCAAAGGACATGTTAACAATGGTTCCAGCTCGTCATCAACGCAGGTGGTGAACCAGAGATGTTTCCAACAAATGTAGGAAGGAAAACAGAAGATTAGAATGGTGTATCTATAGACATACCCTGTCCCACCAGGAGACATTAATATATGCAAGTGAACTAAAATCTCCACCATAGAACCCCAAAATTCAAGGAGCAGATGCATGATATAAGAATTGGAATATGGTCCCACTTGGTGGTGGTAGGCGAAATCATGAAGTTCTGATAAGGCATAACTGTCCCTGCATATAACGAAACCACCCTGCATGAAACACAATATCTGTTGAAGGAGATAATGCCAGACATAACAGCCCTCAAGGATGGTACAGGCTTAAAAGCAACTGGGGAGAAGACCCAAAACTTCAGACACTATTAACCAATGGAAGAAAACGAATCAAAGGTTTATCCCAAAGATACCACCTTTTTGTTCGTATGTCAGTTAAAGACTGAGTTGATTAACAGTGATTGGAACAACATGTAGTCAGGTAAGTTTGTTTGTAAGAGCAAAGTAACATTGGTCTATTTGCTGTGACCACTATAGGGAATCAAACCTCAAATTCCAGCACGGCAAGTCTGCAAATGTACCACTGTCCCACAGAGGAACTGAAAAGCGAACAGACAAAAAATAATTGCAGAAAAAAAAAGAATCTAAATTCTCTCCAGAATATCGAGGTTCACCCTCAAATGCATACCATAAACCAACTGGCCAATCAAAAAGGAAAAGCAAAAACGAATTTATTACTTTTAATTGTAATGAAATTTACAAGGCAACACCAAAATAGCAAGCAACAGTATAACCAAGCACAGCACTGTGATAGAGGAAAGCGTGACCAAACGCTTGTTGAGAAAAAGTGATACAATTACCTGAATGAGGTGTTTATATACAATACCATGATAGAGGGTGTATTGACATAGAGGGAAAGAAACACAAGACAAATATCACCAAGGGCAATTAAGTGGGGTACAAAACACTGGAGCAAGGGAGACCAATGCTTAGATGGGCAAAGCTGGAGGTCAAGGAATAACTACGTGTCAGCAGATGGTAAATATGTTTTGGAATATAACTACCCAATTCTTGTTTTCCTTTTCTTTGATTTTTCTTTTTACTCCAACTAATGTTAGTTCTAACCTTATAATATTCTAATCATCTCCAAGTCTGCTATTTGTGATTACTGTAGTAAAATACAACACATTCAATTATCAATATGGAGAGTAGTTGTTACCCTGTTTGGAAGTCATAGTATTGTAGCATAATTTAACTGGTAAGAATACAGGCCTCAGAATTCAGCTTTGCATGGGGCTACCACAGAACAAACACAGCCACTGTCTCCAGATACTGAAGCTGATAAGTATGAGACTTGTTCTTTGCAATTTTACAGGAGTTAAGAGTCAAAACAGTTTGCAGTATTAAGGTTTTAATTAAGTATTAATGGTCTACTATTCCTCTATATTTCAACCATTCTAGATTAGACTTTGCACAAAGATATCTTGAAACAACTCTTAAAGATTACACAGATATATTAGGGATTTTTGCCTTTCTTTTGAAGTTATTGGGGAAAAAGGTAAAACAATTTACAATGCATATGATAGGGAGCTCTGAATTTAAGAGACCGACTGACTTACGATTTGAATGCTCACCAGATCCTGCATGCAAAAATGCCAGATACCATGCAACACCAGAACTTTTGCAACCAAAATTAATTTCTGAGTGACAATTTCTCCAAAACATGTAAATTATTGTCTAGAATTATAATGACTCAATTATTTTGAGTAAATTTGGGGAAAATAAAAAAAACGTGGATAATCGAGGATCACGGATGTAGGGATAATCGAGGTACTATTGTAGCCCCCATTTCCCAGTACAAACAGTAGCGAAGATAGGTTAGGCACACCTGGTTCCTAGATCTGAAAATATTTGTCGATGCCTGCGCTAAGGTCACACTTCAATATGTTCCAATACATATTTTTCAACAAAAAAGTCTCTAAGTTGATATTGTGTCAAGTATCCATCCCTCTGAAATATATATATATATGCTATAGTTTATGCTTCATTCTCCAGCCTTGAATACCACTCTCTCTCTTGAGATTTACTGTAACTAAAGGTCTTAATGAATAAGGTGTATGGGGAGAGACATATTGCAGTTACTTGCATATGTATGTCCTTTCTAGTTTTATCTTATTTTCTAAGTGTTGATTTAATTAACATCCTTTTTATCCTACTGTGAAAATGTGATTCTTCAATATTTTTTTATCCTGACCTTATAGTCTTAGTTTATTCAGCATTCTGTTTATCTTACCCTTAGTGCCAATTTTATCTTTTTTTAACCAATCCTGTGCTTTTTTTAATACAACTAAATAATAAACTGTGAAATAAAAATTTAAAGCTTAATATTTATTATCAATTTTTGTGAGGTATATTTATAAAAAAAAATACCTTTTTGTTGTGAAAAGTGAACAAGGTGAGAAAGAATCAGCCAATTTCTATCAAACTTTCAAAGATATTTCACATAAGAACTAAATGAATAACTCACCCACTCCAGAGATTGTAGCAAATACCTCTGGAGGTGTCTTCGTGTTCTGGATGGCATCTGCTAGTGATTTGGTGGTGTTGACCCTGCTAGCCCATACATTCTGTTTAAACCCTGGAGTCCATCTTTGCAAAGTAAACAAAAATTAAAATAGTACATCTAAATTTATTTCTTCACCTACTTGATTTCCTTTGTTTTTTAAAGAAACAAAATTTTATAACTTATTCTGCTTAAATCCTGTGCTACACCTCTCAAGAGAAATACTAACATTACACTTTTTACTTAAAACCTAACATTACATTTCTCCAAAGAACACTAGAGTCAAACATCATGCTCGAATCTTAGAGTACACCCTTTGAAAGAGACAAAACACAAAGCAGATAAATTGCATTTTCCCACAGAAACACAAGATAAAAACATCCTATCTTATTTAACTCTTGGCTACAACTTTCTAGAAAAAAAACAACATAATATCATAACTAAATTATCTAAGAAAAAAAACCTCTTTTTTGAAATAATTAGTAAATTAATAGTTTTCTGATGACATTAAATAAACTCGACATTTCTAGCTCTATTGAGGATGTTGAAATATAACAAAATGACTTAGTTCAATTGATACATTGGACAAATGACCTTTAATTATGCGATGGTCAAGGTCATGCATTTGGGTTATCATAATTTGGAACACGTTTTATATAGATGGGAAACCATTCAGTAGCATAACTGAAAAGGATTTTAGCATATTGGAAGATAAGTAATTCAAGCCCCTGAGGCAGTGCTCTGTTGCTTGTAGTAAATCTAATGTAATTTCAGGTTATATATACCATGTACAGTTTTGGTTTCCTTATCAAAGAAAGGATACTGATAATAGGATGAGAAGACACAAGTTCAATATTGGCTAAAAGGCAGGCTAGGCTCTAGTTAACAGTTTTAGTATTCTTTTGTTGTGGCTACATGGCAATATGGTTTCCTGTGTCAATGAGCTTTTTTTTGTATAAATAACAATCATGACAAAATAGGTCAATCTGTTAAGATAATGAAAATGTAAAGGAAATTTGCCTTAATGGAAAAAATATCACATATGAGGAAAAAAGTATTATCCATAAAAAAGCTAAAAAAACATGATCAACTTGAATAGTGTTGATATTACCAATAACACTATCCAAATCAACTTGAACATCACAACTAACCACATCTGAAATACTGCAGTCACTCAGCATCATAGATATGGCATGAGAGTAAAATTGAGTGTCTCATACACTGATGGGTCAACCACTCGTAAAAGGAAGTGATGAGTAGGAAAACTGTGGCTAATGTAGAGCTTTGCCAGGACAATTTTCTCTTTCTGGATTCTACACAAACTAGACGGCCAATCAGAAACAGTAGGCTTTATTTGGAAAGACTTGTTGTGATGTTATTCACTCCAAGTTGTCTGCCAGTTGGCATAAAGCTTGGCCTTGATAATAGGTTTGATCCAATTTTGTGATATGTAATACTGAAGAAATGAGCTCACTGTTAAAGCTTCAAAATTAGTCTGTACTAGTAATGAAACAAACTCCAAAATGGCCAAAAATCCAGAAAAACTGAATAGAAATCGATAACATGATACAAGCCAATCTTTCTGAATGTCCACAAGGATTAGATGATAACTAACATTATGTAATTCCAGAGCCTTTAAAGAGCTCAGCAAGTCTATATATATATTGTACAATTAGTGTAATACTTTGCCTGTATATGATTCAGAGCTAGTGGTATGAAATACAACTTGGCAGTCAACATAGAATCTATAGAGATCATGTTAGCAATTTCAGAGCTGCATTAAACCATGGGTGAACTCACAGTGTCATCTGATTTCAAACATCATTTGTAAAAATTGGAACACAAAGGATGGCTTCTTGAAAGGTTTTTTAAAAGAGAAGTCAATACTTCAACTTTTTCATGTGACTCAAAGAAAGATTGCAAGTGGGGATGATAACAAACCATGGTGGAATGAACTTATCAACAGGTTTTACAATATCATCCACTATCAGACCTTTTTAAGTTTACCTAGATATCAAGACCAAAGGTAAAATAACAGACTGTCCAGTTGCAAAAAGCATAGCCCAAAGAGGCATAAAAACACATGGCCAGGTGGGATGTGATGGCAGGTATTGAAGCTTTGCAGTATAGTGCATAGAAAGATGAAAACATCCGAGGTGAAATTGGGGCTCATGGGACTGTGTTTACAAATTCTGAACAGGAGAAATGCAGAAAGCCATTGTGTAGAGCCAAAGCCCCTGATGAAACACAGGGTCTAACATCTTCCTGGCCTAAGTGTCAGATTTTTAGGTACGTGTATGGGCAGGATTCTTTACATTAGGTGCCTGCAACTTGTTTCAACAATAAACAAACAGCACACATTGTTTTAAAATAATATATTCAAAAGAAATCAAACATATGAACAAATATTTGTTATACTATTGGTTATTACAGTTGTATCCAAAGCTTTAAATAATTCTCTTTTTCATCAAAGTCCATACAGTTAGATTCAATTACTTTAGTACACCCTTTGACAAAACAAATTATTCTCCTTTACTCTGTTATTATAATACAATCTGTGATATTCACTTTAAAATCACCACTATAACTGTTGGTTACTACAGTTGTATCCAGAGCTTAAAATAATTGTCTCTTTTTTCGTCCAAGTCCACACAAAGGGGGTTAAATTACTCTACAGCACCCTTTGACAAGACAAATTATTCTCCTCTATCTCTATTATTTTATAATACAAGCTGTGAAACTCACTTTAGAAATTGCCACTACATGCTCTTTATAGCTAAACTCACAATCACACAGTCTAAACTTCACTTATACTTTCAGTAACTTAATTGAGTTACTTAGTTGCCTATATCCGATATATTGCCTGACTGAGGCCTAGAACTTTCTATAAGCTACGATACTTTATGATGTAACAATACTCACTTAAAGCAATGAGAAAAGTTCAGAAGGTTCAAGTAACATGATGTCAATTCACAATTGAACTTCACAACAAATGATTGGTAAACACTTATGTAAGCAAACCTGTGATGAATTATTGCTTCTAAAAATACTAAATTTAATATTCACACTTTATAACTATCTAAATCATATTTCTCTAATTAAATTCAAATGAATCAATTGGGTATATCTAACATAAAGCTTAGACCAGACATACACATAATCCAGCTTAGACAGAATGGCAGCACAATTGATCTTGAACACAAAACAAATATCTGATCCCCGAAATGTGAGGACACAAAAGATGTTAGAACCCTTTTACACTTGATTTTAAGCTGTTTCAGGTACAAAATAAATGTCAGAATTTGGTCAAAGAGATGTCCCAAAACTTTGCCTCAACCAATACAAGAATTGCTGCACCTCCCAAATAGAGCAAGTTCAGGGTGCAAATCTTGCTGGTGCAAAAATGTATGCAAACAATTTCAATTGGCAAAAAGTTGAAACCTTTTGCACTAGTCCTAACTCACACAGTTTTACTTATTAGTTATCAAATAAGATATATTGAGTAGCAGCAATAAAATGCTCTCACTCACTTGAAATTTTTTGACAAAGAGGCTGTTTGCAAGTATATGAGAAAGTTGGTCATTGACAGAATTGATCTTTATGCTAAAAAATGTGAAACAGACATAGCCAAAAAAATTACAAATAAAATTATGAAAATGGCCATGCAACCCACATGAATGGGAGATCTATGAAATGATGATCCTTCATGTGGTGTCATAAGCCTTCTCAAGATCAAAACAGTCAAACAAGAGGATCCCTCTTGATAAAGGCTTCCCTGATTGACCTTTAAAGTCAAATAAGGTGTTCCAAAGTGGGCCACTGTCTGCAGAAACCACAATGGATAGTGCAGAGAAGGTTGTTTGATTCAAAGAACCTAAAAAGTTGAGTATTAACAACCCTTTTCAAAATTTTACAGACAGCTAGTGAAAGCAATAGATCTATAACTAGAAGGAATCTTGAGGTCCTTTTCGGGCTTGGAAAAAAAGGATGACAATAGCTCAACATTTTACATCTAGAAAATGTTCTTCCTGTCAAACCTAGTTCAAACTACCAGAAGATCAAGAGAGGCAGGAGAGAAAGGGTTCAGTATCTCGTAATGAATGTCAGCTGGTATGACTGATGTACTGCCAGACCAATTTAGAGCAAGTTTAAGTTCCATCAGAGCAAATGGTTGAATATAACCATATAGACAATTAGTCCTGAACTATGGTGACAGTCTTTTGGCCAGTGTAGTGGAAGAAATGGAAGTGATTGAAAGGTGAGAAAATAGCTCTCCAAAAGAGTTTGTTAGCAATACCCTGTAAATTAGTAACTTCTTGGCTACTGAGCTGCAAGATCTAAAGAAGATGGTAGGAATATTTCTCATTCACTATTCAAATCTTTTCCCAAATGATATTGGAACTCGTGATGGAATAGATATTTGAAGTGAATTATGTTCAAACCTGTCGATAGACTATTCAGTTTGTAAGAGTGGGATATTTGTAGAAGATATTCCAGGACCACTTCTGAGCCATCATGCCCATTAGTTGAGGTGTCCACCATGAATGAGCACATCACATTAAACATGTCAATGTTTTAGGGACAATATAATTAGTTACTGCCTCCACACATGTCATGAATAGAGGGTAGATTAACAACAGGAACAAGCTCCAGAATAGCAGTGAAGAAGAGCCAGTTAGCCTTCTCTAACATACAATGTAAGCAAAGAGTCAGAGGTCATCGAGTGTCGCCAATTTCCTTCAGAATTATGAGAAAATAATCACTACTTCATGGATCAGTGTCTACCTTCCAAGAAAAACAAAGAAGTTTTTTGTTTCTTTGTTGGAAATTTAGCAAAGCTACTTGAGTTATCTGCACTAGCCATCCATGATTTTGAAGTGAAAGACTAGAGGGAAGGCAGCCAATTAACACCACCCATTGTCAATTCTTGTGCTATCTTTTACTGACATTATAATGCCCCCTGTGGCTGAAAGGCAAAGTATGTTTGGTAATGGTTTTTTCTTTCTTTGATCCACAGATTGAAAGATGAGCACCTAACCAAAAGATCATTTCAGACCCAACAAGAAAGAAAAGAGGAACATGTGAATACCTCTATGGCATATGCTCCAAAGACTGATCCCATCACATCAAGATCTGCAGCAACCCAGTGACAGGTAAAACAAACATAACGTGATATTGGTACAACATCCTAAATTGATGCCACAGTCATGGAGGGTGCAAGCTGCTCAACCACAAAAGCTAAACCTCCAAAAACAACATCCATAATCTGTCTTTCTTATGCAAGGAAAACTGCTGAATGATGGCAGTATTAGCAGTGTTCAGAAACATCTCCAGTCAGGATGGTAAGAATTAATCAAGGCTTCAATATCATACAAATTACAGCAAACATCCTGTACCTGTATGGACATTTACACCTAGAATATTTTGGAGATCTCGGAGGGGACCACTTTTTCTGGATTGACGAGGTAGGTCCACATCAAATAAGCATGATCCTACCAAACAAAGGCAGGTTCTGAGGATTATTAACAATCCTGTACCTTAGGGCAGATGTAACTGGACCTAATCACTCACTGTTGTCAGTAGTTTATCTTCTGAAATCCAAACATCCACCCACATGTTTGTTATGCGCCAGCCTTCACTACTGCTGATGGCAATCATACCATAAGACAACCCTATCAGAAAAATTAACCCCTCAATGTGGTTTCCTGTATGTGATGAAGGGCCCTCCTAGGGAAGATTCTTCCTTTACAGTTTATCTTCTAAGATCCAAACATTTATCCACATGTTTGCCATGTTTGGTGACCTCTGAAGGGGAGGAGAGGATTCTAGTAGTTGAGTGGTGTCAACAGATTTGTACACAAAAAACCAAATATGTTTCTAAAGTTTTTGTACTAAAAATATGTCTGTGAAATGCCAGTCAGTCTGAAGTTTTGAATTTTGCTAATCCATAACTAAAGAGAAAATTATTTTGTACCCAATGACCTCACCCATTATGTAGTACAACCGGGAGATGTGCTATATTGTCCAACTGAAACAGCATAGTAGTGCCAGGGTTTCTTGGGCACTATATACACCCACAAGTACTGGACATAATGTCTACAGCACTTGTTGAAGATTCCCAATACTCCAATGCTGGCACTTAGTTGACCCTACCCACAAAAGACACGTCATCTGATCCTGAGGGGAGGCATCCCAAAGCCACCTGTCTACAGTAATTCTAGGCCAAGGTTGTGTGTTGCAGTTTCCCAGACATTACTCAACTACTAGAATCCTCTCCTACTGTTCAGAGGTCACCACACTTTTCATGAGTTTAAATGTGGAATTGATGATTTCCTGAAAAATAGAAGGTGGGTTTAGATTTTTACTTTTCTGAGAAGTGTGTGTATGTAAAAACAGTCTTGAAGGACTATATGGTTCCTTGTTGTTGCTACATTATTTATTTTCAGGATTTATATACAATTTGACCAGCTTCAATGTTACACCCATAACCATAATAATGGTTTATACACTTCTGAATAAACAAACTATTTTAATAATTTATCAGCATATCTCTATCAGATCTACAGAAACAATATCTCAAATATATTTCTTAACTATGGAAAAACAGACTGTATATTGTAATATAAGAGCTGTATATAAACCATTGCTTTAAAATAAGATGCATTTTATTAACTTTATCAATTACAAACCTTCTTCGGGGATCAAGGATGTTCTGCCCTGCCAAACTAACCACTGCCACACAATTATCAGGAAGCCCATCACTGGCTAAATCTTCCTGAAATTATAAACAGAACATGTTAAAAGAAATCTAGGACATGTTTGTTTTACAAATCAGGGAGTAAGCACAAAATGTTAGATTTTGCTTTATATTAATCTATAAACATTTATCATAATTTAAGATCAAGATGTAATACACTGTAGATACTTTCATTCCATCAACTTATTGTTGAACATTAAATACTGATTCATTGTTATCTGACTCAGTGGCAGTAAAGGATCAATGTGGATCTGTAAAGGTAGGAGAAAGGAAAGTTATTGCTGCATCCAATGACATTCTTTCCATTTGATTATTTCCTCAGTAACTCAATGGAATGTTTAAGGGCTGATAATACTATAATTCAGGGTTCAAATCCTGAGGGGAATACAGTGCAAACAGCCCATTTTTTATCTAGCACTAAAAAAAAGCAAACAAACCATTCAATAATTCCAATGACTTTACTGAACAATATCACTTTTAATACTGATTATGTCTAAATTTCATACCAAACTACCAACCTATCAAGCATAGGATTAGCACATGTACAGGAATTTATGGAAGCAATTGTGAGTGGGTTGTTTTGTTTGTGACTGCATCACACAGTATATCAAAAGAAGTTAAAGAAGAGACAACATAATAGTTGGAATAATTAGAAAAATTAACTGGCTAATTATTAGTAATTGATTAATTGGCAAACCCTACAACAAACTATTCATATTAAAACACTCTGGGCTTTAAGAATAACATTCAAATAATTATTGATGATTCAAAAATTGTTTATTAATGCTTGTGATGGATTTATTATTATATATTTATTTTAATATTGATGTTTGCTTGAATTAAATTTATATTTACAAGTGTAACATAACTTATATAGTTAAAAAGTATTGCGAAACTCCCCACCTAATTCTCT